AATCATTTCTGAAGAAGGGTCCCGACCCGAAACATCAGCTTTCCTGCTCCTCTGATGCTACCTGGCCTGCTGTATTCCTCCAGCTCCACACTGTGTTATCTCAGACTCCAGCATCAGCAGTTCTTACTATCTCTGAGTTCAGACATTTTTGTGTTGGAATAGCAGTAGACAATCAAGGAACTGGTGAATTTGTCCTCCTTCTTATGAATTTCTGAATTAGATGCAGCAAACTCTCTTTGTTTAGCTTTGAAGGTGAAGAGTGGGATGGAGTGAAAAGGAAGAGAGAAAAGGAGGCCAGGAAACAAGTGAGACAATGATGGACAGCCACTGAGTAAGTGGACTTGTGACAGAGAAAGAAACACGGACTGAGAAAATGTGCGAACGAAAAAATAGATATGAGACAGAAAGAGGGAGAGAATATGGCAGACCATGTTTTGGATTATAATAGAAACAAATAGAAATTGAAAATAAACGGCATTGTTTATTTGGTTTATGATCATAATATATCATGTTATTTGGGCAAATTGTGGCACCTGGTCCATAGGTGCATATCAAATTATCACTTTGTCTAATAACTTTCACAGTATCAATCTTAATGGAGTGACCGCCTTGTTTGTTCAGTGCTCTGAAATCAATTGCCTTAGGGATGCATTCTAAGAATACCACCAGGGATTCGCCTCACTATAAATCATCCACTGATTTCTCTTTATGGTCTCATTCACCTCCAATATCAACAGGATTCCATACCTAAAAAGGAAATGCGTCGGACAATAATGTCCCAGATTGAGTCCGTATACTATCCTGCGCTGGCAGTTGTTGGTGTACCTGGTAAGCTATATTCTTGTGTACGTTAGACGATGATGATCTGGATTACTGGACTGCTACATAGGCTCCATGCCAGCTAGAGATATCGCATTGCCTCATGCACTGACATAGCAAAGGTCACCGCAGCAGAAGCTGTGGAGAGGAACAGCATTTATCTTTCAGGCTGATGACTCTTCATTAACACTAAATGGAGACCTTCCCTTCTCAAACCCATGATTCCAATGCGCAGAGCTATGGCAGCAGTTTCCAGGTTCCTGGCCCTGACCGTCTCAGCCAACCTTTTTACAGCCCCAGCCTGCACCAGCAAGGTCTGAGGACCTTCCACTTCTTCCTTAAATGGATCATTTCTCATCCATTGCTAAATCTCCTCCACATGACTGAAACTATTCCCAGTTTGACAACTTCTCCTTCACCTCCATTCACTTCCTCCAAATAAAAATTGTTGCTCCGATTGCCCGCACATAGGTCCAGACTAATCCTGCCATGTTGTGGGATATGTGGAGCAGTGCATGTACCTGTCCATCTCAGGCCACCTCCTTCAGCTCTTTTTCCATTAAATAGATCCATAGATCACCATTTTGTTGCTACCCCTTGCTCTTGCCCTGAACTGAAAACTTCCATTGACTTTGTTTCCAGTTCTTTCCCTTTTCTAAGCCTCGTCTCGTCCATCATTGATTCTTCCCTTCCTTTCTTTGACTCCTCAATCCTCAATTCTGCAAACAAGTTATGAACGGAAATCAAGAGTAAACCCATTAGTCTCACAGCTACCTTAACGATACTTCTCACACCTTGCTTCCTGTAAGGACTCTATTTCACTCTCCCACTCTTTAGAGGAAGCAATTTATCATGGTACTGGTTTTGAAGTATGTTTTTTTTTCTTCAACCCCACCTTAGTCTAGATTGATAGGGACCAGATCAAAGTCAAATCCTTTTCAAGCACTCTTGCAATCAGCTTCTACACTCCCTCCCAGAAGCATGAATGTCCTCACCTTCCAACACAACAGCCTTCGTATTCAACTGATTTTTAAAATACATTCATTCATGGGATGTGGATATTGTTGGCTCCATCAATATTTTCCCATTCCTAATTGTTTTTTTTTCAAAAATATACCTTATTCATAAAAAAGTCTTTGTATATATAGATAGTCACAAATGCAGTTCGGTTCTGCACAGTTGCATAACAAGTAAACAAACAAAACTTTTGGACTTCGACTCTATCCACAAAAGCACAGACCTCGCATACCTACAATACCAATATTTACAAATATTTGACACACTAGCAAGGTCCGATAACTGAACGGACCCAATTTACCTTCAGCAGGAAGACCTCAGACGGTGGGTCTTTCCCCTCTGCCCCTTGGCAGCAGCTGCCCCAAGCTTTAGTGCGTCACTCAGCAAGTAGTCCTGGACCTTGGAATGTGCCAGTCTGCAACACACGGTTGGGGTCAACTCCTTGTTCTGGAATAAGTGGTGGTGTGATGCCTTTTTGAACTACTGCAGTGAGCGGAGTTTAAGGACACCCATATTCAATCATTCTTTTTTTTATTGACTGTGTGCGGACATCTGACTAGATTTCACGCTATACTTAAGAGTGTAATTCATATGGTGTGTAAGGACTGTGTCTTTTGCTTTTTGTGTTTTATTTTTAATGAGAAAGAGACATATTAAAGCCAATGTTTGAAGGGATAGCTACATGTTTGTTAGGTAAGTAACCTGGGATCAATTGCAGACATCATGTAAACACTGTTTCTATGAGCAGTAATTAAAGAGATTGCAGACAAATTGGAGCCGAGGAGTTTCTATATACAGATGCCAGTGTTGGCAATAAGAAACAGATTGGTCTATAATCTAGTGACCAGCTACAAATGTGTGCATAGACAAGAGGGCATTTATAAGGGAATTAACACTCTAATTAATAGCGCCATTCATAACTTCTCAAGTTCAAATGCAACAAGATCTGGACAATATCCACATTTTGGGCTGACAAGTGGCAAGTAACATTCATGCCACACAAACGCCAGGCTATGATCTTCAACAATAAGAGACAATCTAACCACCACCCCTTGACATTGAATGGTGTTCCTATCACTGAATCCCCCACTATCAACATCCTGGGGGTTATCATTGACCAGAAACTCAACTGGACTCACCACATAAACACAGTGGCTACAAGAGCAGATCAGAGATTAGAAATACTGTGGTGAGTAATTCACCTCCTGGCTCCCCAGAGTCTGTCCACCATCTACAAGGCAAAAGGAAGGAGTGCGATGGAATACTCCCCACTTGCTTGAATGAATTATGACAGGTGGAAAATTATGGAATGTGCACAGCCATGGAACTCACAGGGATCATTGTCTACAGTGCCATAAGGGATGGAATTCCAAGATTTTGACCCAGTGATATGAAGGAATGGTGATATAGTTCCAAGTTAAGATGATATGAGGCTTGAAGGGGAACTTGCAGGTTGTTATGTTCCCATGTATCTGTTGCCCCTGTGCTGCTGGATGGTAGTGATCATGGATTGGAAGGTACTATTGGAGAATTCTTGATGAATTTCTACAGTGCACTTTGTGGATGGTATACATTGTGAACAATGAGGCATCAGTGGGGAAGTGAGTGAATGTTAAAAGTCATGAACAGTGTGCCAATCAGGGTGCTTTATTCTGGATGAAGTTGAGCTTCTTGCATCATCCAAGCAAATAGAAAATATTCCATCAGAAGTCTTTGCCTTGTCAATGGTGGACAGAATTTGGGGAGTCAGGAGATGAGGTGCTTTTCACAGAATTCCGAGCTTCTGGTAAACACAGTAGTTATACGTCTAGTCCAGCTCAGATTTTGGTCAATGGTACTCCCAAGATGTTGATAGCTGATACAGTAATACAGAAAGTTAGAAATATAAGAAGTAGGAACAAGATCAGGTGATTCGAGTTTTCAAGCCTGCTCCATCATTCTGTATGATCATGGCTGATCATCCAACTCAGTCCCCTGATTCCATTTCTCCCCAAACCCTTTGGTCCCTTTAGCCCTAAGAACTATATCTAACTTCTTCTTGAAATCATTCAATGTTTTGATCTCAACTACTTTCTATGGCAGAGAATTCCACAGGCTCCACACTCCATGGGTGAAGAAATTTCTCCTTATCTCTGTCCTCAATGACTTACACAGTAGCCTTAAACTGTGACCCCTCATTCTGGACTCCTTGGCCATTGAGAACATCCTTCTTGCATTTAATCTGTTCGAATTTTATAAGTTTCTGTGAGATCCCCCCATCATTCTTCTAAACTGCGGAGAATATTGTCCTAACCAATCCAGCCTTTCTTCATTGTCAGTCCTGCCATCCAAGGAATCAGGCTGGTAATCCTTCATTACACTCCCTCTATTGTTGGAACATCTGTCTTCAGATAGGGAGACCAGAACTGCACACAATACACCAGATGTGGTTTCACTAAAGTCCTGTACAATTGCAACAAGACATCGCCACTCCTGTACTCGAATCCTCTCACTATAAAGGCCCACATGCCATTTGTCTTCTTCACTGTCTGCTGCATCTGGATGCTCACTTTCTGACAACTACAAGGACACTCAGTTCTCATGGTATCTCTCCCTTTTTTACTCTATTGCCATTCAGATAATAACCCTGTTTCTTGCTACCTCACATGTTATACTTCATCTGTCATGCATTTAACCTCTCAAACAATTTGTCAAAATCACACTGAAGCATTTTTTTCAGCCTCCTCACAGCTCATCCTCCCACCCAGCTTTGGTGTCATCTGCAAACTTGGAGAAAACTTCAGTTTCATTTAATTTCTTTTTTCTTCCTTTACTTTATGTTTGTATGATTGAAATCAAGCCATTCATATGATATCCAATAGCTGTTTCTTTTCTTTACTTAGACCATAAGACATAGGAGCAGAAATTTGGCTGTTTGGCCCATCGAGTCTACTCCACTATTCAATCATGGCTGATATGATTCTCAACCCCATTTTCCCGCTTTCTCCCTGTAACCTTTGATCCCCTTACTAATCAAGAACCTATCTATCTCTGTCTTAAATATACTCAATGACCTGGCCTCCACAGCCTTTTGTGGCAATTAATTCCAAAGATTCATCACTCTCTGGCTGAAGAAGTTTTTCCTCATCTCCGTTCTAAAGGATCTTCCCTTTATTCTAAAGCTGTGCCCTTGGGTCCTATTCTCTCCTGCTAATGGAAACTTCTTCCCAACGTCCACTCTATCCAGGCCTGTCAGCATTCTGTAAGTTTCAATTAGATTCCCCCTCATCCTTCTAAACTCCATTGAGCATAGACCCAGAGTCCTCAAACATTCCTCACATGTTAAGCCTTTCATTCCTGGGATCATTCTCATGAACCTCCTCTGGACCTGCTCCCAGGCCAGTACGTCCTTCCTGAGGTATGGGGCCCAAAATTGCTCACAATATTCTGAATGTCGTCTGACCAGAACCTTACAAGTCCTCAGAAGTACATCTGCTTTTATATTCTAGTCCTCTCGAAATAAATACCAATATTGCATTTGCCTTCTTAACTACTGACTCAATCTGTAAGTTAACCTTAAGAGAATCCTGGACTAGGACTCCCCTTTGCACTTCAGATTTCTAAATTTTCTTCTCTTTTAAATAATTGTCTATGCCTCTAATCTTCCTACCAAAGTGCATGACCTCACACTTTCCCACATTGTCTTCCATCCATCACTTCCTTGTCCACTCCCCTAACCTGTCTGAATCCTTCTGCAGCTTTCCCACCTCCTCAATTCTACGTGTGCCTCCACCTATCTTTGTATCATCTGCAAACTCAGCCAGAATGCCCTTAGTTCCTGCATCAAATCATTAATGTATAAAATGAAAAGTTATGGTCCCAACACTGATCCTCGCGGAACTCCACTAGTCATCGGCTGCCATCCTGAGAAGGATCCTTTTGGCCCTACCCTCTGCTTTCTACCAGACAGCCAATCTTCTATCCATGCTAATACCTTGCCTCTAACACCATGGGCCCTTATCTTACACAGCTTCCTGTGCAACACCTTGTCAAAGGCCTTCTGGATACTTACCTACTTTACTTACTACTGCTCCCTTTGACTTTTATACCATGAAACTGTTTGGCATCTAACCTTTCCAGTCACAAAGTTTCTCTTTTGTTCTTCATCCACTCCTCTTTTACTTGCTACTATGTTTCTATTTTTTATCAGTTCTGATGATAGATCAGTGTGCTGGAAAGTCAGATGTGTTCCTCTCCACAGATTCCAGCATATTTTGTTTTTATTTCAGATTTCCATTGTCTCAATATTTTGCCTGTGATAAATAGTTAGCTATTTGATGATAAATCTATAAGCCCTCCATCAGTGTGATCAGCACCTTCAGAAGAGTGAGGCGATGGAAATAATTAATTTGACATGTCCCATTCCAGATGACACCTCAGCATTGTTGCTGGCTAGTTATTTCACTGTCTCCTTTTCTATTTTATGCAGGTAATGGTGTGGAAATTGTGATCCTGTCTCGGGGAAAGTGTGGTCTCTCCAGATGCATCACCCACTACCTGGTACCCATGGCAATGGCGGATCTCATGGTGATTACCTGTAATTTGGTATTACGTTGGATTGTAGTACTCCATTGGCGGAACTCTTTCCTGCACTACACCTCTGTGTGCAAGCTTATTCTATTTGGCTCTTCGACTGCCATAGACATTTCTGTCTGGACAACAGTTGCTTTTACTTCTGATCATTTTGTGGCCATTTGCTGTCTAAGGCTGAAACCAAAATATTGCACCAGGAGAACTGCTGCTGTGGTTATCATTGCTTTAAGCTTGCTGTTCTGTTTAAAGAACATCCCATGGTTTTTCTTGTATATTTCTTGTTATACAATTAACAATATTCCACGGGGTTGCCTTGTGTCACCAAAGATTTATACTCAAACTGTATGGATAGCATTTTCCTGGATTGAACAGTTGTTAACCCTGTTGCTTCCATTCCTTTTGATTTTATTCTTTAACATCCTCACCATCAGATGTATCTTAGTAGCCAGTAAGGCCCAAAGGAACTTCTGGGAGCACAACAAAGGAGAGAGTGAGAGACAAGGACCCTGACATGAAGAGTCACAGAGAGTCCATAATTTTGCTTTTTGCAATATCCAGCTGTTTTATCTTGCTCTGGATGACAACAGTCATTTATTTCTTGTATTATTGAATTAAAAGCACTTTCAGTAAAAGATCTATAATGAACATTTTTGCAACCTTTGAAGAGGTGGATATTATGCTTCAGCTTCTGAGCTGCTGCATGAACACAGCCATCTACACAGTCAGCCAGAGAAAGTTAAGAAAGGAGTTGCTTAATGCCCTCAAATATCCCTTTATACGGATTGGCAAATGCATTAAATAAGGACAATGGCTGCACAAAAAGAGCTGTCTCCCCCAATATGACAACCAACTCCTCATCACAATTATCACTTCAATTTACTACAGGTATTCACCTACTGGGCTAAATGTTTCCTGTAAATTAATTTGTTGTCAAGAGAAATGAGAATCAAAACCATCAATCCCCATCAAAAATAAATAAAGGAAGTACTATAAAGTTATCAAATATGTTCCTTAGTTGTTATATAGGACTTGTCTTTTGTGAAATGACCTGAACTAAGCATATCCAACAGTGGTATTTTTTAGGAATGGATTAATTCATATGCTCTGGTACGTGTTTTGCTAAGTGAATAAGGACTGTGTTGTAACCTTCCCATAATTCATTCAGCAATCTTTTCCCATGCAGTATGATACCTTGTTCCATATGAAATTTGACATTCTTGCACCTATCCAAATGAAGCAAGAAGAAAGGTTCCAACTACATGTCCCTTTATTCAGCAATACTCAAGCTCTTTCACATCAAGAGATGTTGTAAATGCATTTTCTTATCATTTGTCTCATTATATAATGTCATGTATGTACATTCTTTCACCCCGGTACATACCAAAGTAAAACAACTATTTAGTACTTCTGCCATGTCCCTTTCTTACCATGCTGTATTATCCTGTCTCCTCTTTAATAGTCTGATTCCTATCAATGTTTTCCATCTATAAAGTAAAAGAACAAAAAGTGCTGGAGAAACCTAGCAGGTCTGGCAACATCTATAGAGAGAGAAAAACAGAGTTAATGCTTTCAATCCAATATGACTTTTCTTCAGAACGCAAGAGTCGTCCATTTATTTTGATTTGCCTGTAAGAGAAAGATCTGTTTGTTTTGTGTTCTTTAATGATTTTATAGCCCTTCTTTCCTTCCTATTTGTCTTTCTTGCAACTTCTGTCCTCATCTCCCCATTCTGTTTCATCATGTACTCCTGTGCGAATATAAAAATTTGAAGCAGAAGTAGGCCACCTGATCCTTCAAATCTGCTCCAGCATTCAATAAGTTCATAGCTGATCAGATTGTGTCCCAAATTCTTCTATGTCAACATAAATATTTCTTCAACCTATTAACCCGATTTTCAGTGTGCTTCTTTATTGACATCTTGGGTGCATTATTTTGTGGTCACTATTGCCTAGCTGTTCCGACTTTTACTTCTCTTCTCCGTTCCAGTTCATTCCCATTAATAGATCCAGTCGCGTTTATTCCCCTTCTTTGGTTTTTGCATATTGGGTTAGAGTGGTGTCCTGTATGCAATTTAGAAGATCACAGAATTCCTACAGCGTGGAAACAAGCCATTCAGTCCATTGAGTCCACATCGACCCTCCAGACAGCATCCCATCCAGACTCATTCCCCCTCTCCATCCAATCCCTTTAACCCTGTATTTCCCATGGCTAATCCACTTAGCCTGCACATCCCTGGAAACTATGGGACAATTTATCATGACCAATCCACCAAACCTGCACATTATTGGATTGTGTATCGTCTGCAAACTTACTAACCCAACCATCTACATTTTCATCTAAGTCATTTACATATATCACAAACAGCAGAGGTCTCAGTAGGGATCTCCTTGGAACACACTAGTCAAGGACCTCCAGCCTGAAAAACACCCTTGTAACAATACGCTCTGTCTTCTACGGGTAAGCCAATTCAGAATCCACGTGACCAAGTCACCATAGATCCCATATATCTTAATCTTCTGGATGAGTGTACTGTGAGGGACCTTGTCAAAAGCCTTACTAAAATCCATGTAGACAACATCCATTGTTCTATCCTCGTTACCTCCTCGAAAAATTCCAACAAGTTAGCAAGACATGACTCAAACCTGGTTCCCTGGTTCTGTGAGGCAGCAGTGCTAACCACTAAGCCACAGTGCCACCAAATCCATTCCTGTTACAATCTCCAAGAGAACCCATAAATCTAAAGAATCAAATTTACTAAACGATTCACAAAGGAAAACAAGTACGCTGCTAGATGTGAATTTTATAACTTTTTTCCCACACAAGTCTTAACAAACAAGAGTTAAACATAAATTAACACTCAAACCGTGACTGTTATATAGCATATGGAACACCACATACAACAAAGATTGAGCCCATGGATTTTCTTTGAGCTAAATTCCAGCTTCTTTCCTTTGAGAACTTAGGTGATTCTTCCCAGCAGACCCTATGGAAACAGGACGTGCCTCATCTCTGGTTTTACATCTCTCTTGCTGTCCATTCTGCTACTTGTCCCTTAATTCCAACTTTATTTATTCATTCATGGGTTGTTCCATTGCTGACAAGACCACCATTTCTTGCCCGTCCCTAATTGCACTGAAGAAGGTGGTCACACTTGTTCTGAAATTTGTCTTGAGTTTGCTCAATGGCACTTTAACCTTGTGAAAGTCCCTTAGAAATTCTTAGCATTCTTCTCATACTTATTGAAAGAATTCAATAAAATTGGTGAATCATGAAGCTTCTTTAGTAGTATGCCCTGACTACTCACTATATTTCAAAATGTTTCTCTATTGCATCTACAAGTAGGCTATTTTATTTTAATTCATGGATGGCGTGTGGGCATCATTAGCTGGACCTATTAGAAGGTGGTCGTGAACTGCCTTCTTGAACCACCACAAGCAAGTTGGTAACAACAACAGAAGTTGCTATTAAAGCTCAGCAGGTCTGGCCGCATCTGTGAAGAGAAATCATAGTGGACATTTTGGGGCCAGTGACTCTTCTTCAGAACTGTTGGTGTTTGGGAGGGAGTCCCAAGATTTTAACCCAGCAACACTGAAGGAACAACGATATGCTATCAAGTCAGAATGGTGAGTGGCTTGGAGGACAACTTCCAGGCAGTGGTATTCCCATATTTCTGCTACCCTTGTCCTTCTGGAAGTGCTTGTGGCTTTGGAAGGTGCTGTCTAAGGATCTTTGGTGAATTTCTGTAGTACATCTTGTAGATAGTACACACTGTTGCTACTGAGGGTTGGTAATGGAGAGAGTAAATGTTTGCAGATGTGGTGACAATCAAGTGGGTTGCTTTACCCTGGATAGTGTCAAGCTTCTTGAGTGTTGTTGGAGCACTTCAAGAATGAATTACAGACACAGTGCAATCTATTTTTTTATGATGCGTGGATACAATCAATCTGTCTCACTACCTGTTTGATCACTTTACCAAACTTTACTTTTCAGAGTTTTGAAATATTTTATTGAAGTCATTCTCTGTTTTTACGCTGTTGTTCCTCCCCTCAGGGTATTTTCTCCCTTCTTCAGGTTCTGAATTCTTCAGGGTCTGTTTTGTTTCATTCATTCACTGTTCCCAGCAAAATTCCCCTTTTCTTCATCAAAACTGTAAATCAAGACCAGGACTTATGCAGGTAATGGTAGGGCCCCAGGTAATGTTGTCAAACAGGGTTTAGGTGCATAGTTCTTTAAAAGTTGCGTCACAAGTAGGCAGGGTGGTATTTAGCATGCTTGCCTTCTTTGCTCAGACCATTGAGTAAAGGAGTTGGGACATCACATTAAGATTGTGCAGGATGTTAGTGAGGCCTCTTCTGGAGTACAGTGTACAGTTTCTGATTGCCCTGCTACAGGAAGAATATTACTAAATTGGAAAAGGTTCAGAAAAGATTTAGCAGGATGTTGCCAGGACTGGGACTTGAGTTATAAGGAGAGATTGAATAGGCTGGGACTTTTTTCACTGGTGCATGGGAAGTTGACGGGTGATGTTTAGATGTTTACAAAATCATGAGCGGCATAGATAAGGTGAATAGCAAAGGTTTTTTTCCTGGATTGGGGGAGTTCAAAACTAGAGGGCATATTTTTAAGGTGGCAGCAGAAAGCTTTAAAAGGGGCAACTTTTTCACACAAAGGGCGGTTTGTAAATGGAACAAACTGCCAGAGGAAATGGTCGATGCAGGTACAGTTTCAACATTTAAAAGACACTTGGACATGGACATGAATAGGAATGGCTTAGAGGAATATAGAACAAATGCAGGCAAGTGGGAATAGTTTAGTTTGGGAAACTTGATTGGATAAGTTGGACCGAAAGGTCTGTTTCTTGCGGATGACACCAAAGTCGGTGGAGTTGTGGATAGTGCGGAAGGATGTTGCAGGTTACAGAGGGACATAGGTAAGCTGCAGAGCTGGGCTGAGAGGTGGCAAATGGAGTTAATGCGGAAAAGTGTGAGGTGATTCACTTTGGAAGGAGTAACAGGAATACAGATTACTGGGCTAATGGTAAGATTCTTGGTAGTGTGGATGAGCAGAGAGATCTCGGTGTCCATGTACATAGATCCCTGAAAGTTGCCACCCAGGTTGATAGGGTTGTTAAGAAGGCGTACAGTATGTTAGGTTTTATTGGTAGAGGGATTGAGTTTCGGAGCCATGAGGTCATGTTGCAGCTGTACAAAATTCTGGTGCGGCCGCACTTGGAGTATTGCGTACAGTTCTGGTCACCGCATTATAGGAAGGATGTGGAAGCATTGGAAAGGGTGCAGAGGAGATTTACCAGGATGTTGCCTGGTATGGAGGGAAGGTCTTATGAGGAAAGGCTGAGGGACTTGAGGCTGTTTTCGTTAGAGAGAAGGTTAAGAGGTGACTTAATAGAGACATACAAGATGATCAGAGGATTAGATAGGGTGGACAGTGGGAGCCTTATTCCTCGGATGGTGGTGGCTAGCACGAGGGGACATAGCTTTAAATTGAGGGGTGATAGATATAGGACAGATGTCAGAGGTAGATTCTTTACTCAGAGAGTAGTAAGGGCGTGGAATGCCCTGCCTGCAAAAGTAGTAGACTCGTCAAATTTAAGGGCATTTAAATGGTCATTGGATAAACATATGGATGATAATGGAATAGTTTAGGTTAGATGGGCTTCAGATTGGTTTCACAGGTCGGCGCAACATTGAGGGCCGAAGGGCCTGTACTGCGCTGTAATGTTCTATGTTCTATGTTTCCATTCTGTATGACTCCATGTCTCCTTCTTCTGATCCCAGCTGATGGTAATCCCAGAATGAAACCTGGTTTGACAGGCCATAAGTCTTTTTTTTCTTTTTTTTTGTTTACTGCATGTTCACAAGAGGCTGCCAATGCACTTTTGACAACAGAACACAAAAGTTAATCATACAAAGCTAAAAAATTAAGCAAACTATTTTGTTC